AGAGAGAGAGAGAGAGTGCTATATGTATATATATATATATATGCTCGCTGATTCTTGCAGTCAGTGTTGGTTTCTTTTGCATTTCACACGCTCTCTTTCACACACAACTTTCGCACACACCATCTCTCACACACAACTTTGTCACACACACCATTTTTCTTTGTCACCCACCATCTTTCACACACAACTTTGTCACAGACACCATTTTTCTTTGTCACACACCATCTTTCACACACCACTTTGTCGCACACAACTCTTCACATAGAACTTGTTTTACTTCTTGATCCTCCATCACATCCTTTGTCTTTCCTTCCTTCCCCCTTCCCCCCATTAACATTTGCGGATCATTATTGGAAGAAGTTGACTTGTGGTGTTTTCCGGTTCTTGAGTTTGTTTACAGAATCTATCATAATCTTATATATGTATAAGAGTATCTAAGTACACACTATATTTAAGTATAAGGAAGTTGCGTTCCCAGCTTTCCAACAATCGCCGCGAAAATTTTCAAAATGCCGCTGGTCATGTTCAACCTCGTATCTCTATGCAGGCGCTGGTGGCTCAAGAGCCCGTCTTGTTCAACACCTCCGTGCGCCAAAACCTGCTCTATGGTCTCCCCCAGTGCCGCATTGACTCTGACCCAAAGGACCCTGAGACCTGCGCAACAGGGATCCGAGGGCCTTCAACACCTTCAACCATCGGAGGTCAATGGGGCGTTCCAACTTTTTATGGTGCATGAATTCATTGCCATGTCCACCCCCTTCTGGGCAAGTGCGACTGGTGGCCCTGCAGGATTTCGAGGAGCAGATGATTGCGGCTGCAAAGGCTGCCTGTGCACATGCGCCTTGGCTGAGACAAGTCTTGTGATAGAGTGACTGTGACTGCTGCGATTAGTGGAAAAGATCAGTGATTGCACGCGCCAGGTGCACCGAGTGCACTGAACGAACCAAAGGCGACGTATACACGTGCAGCGCACCGAGTACATATGCAGCGCACCCAGTACACATGCAGCGCACCGAGTGCACCGAGTGCACTGAATGCACCGAGTGCACATGCAGGGCACAGAGTGCACCGAGTGCACCGAGCACACCCAATACGCATGCAGCATGCCCATGTCCATTTGTCTATCTAATCATGCCTAATCTTATCTAATCTAGCTTAACCTAGTCTAATCTAAATCTTATCTAACCTAAATCTAAGCTAAATGAATCGAATCCAATTTAATCTAGCCGATCTATCTATCTGTTTGACTTGTCTGCCTGTCTGCCTGCCTGCCTGCCTGTCTGCCTCCCTGCCTGTCTGTCTGTTTGCCTGTCTGTCTGTCTGTCTTATCTATCTAATACTAATCTATCTATCTATCTATCTATCTATCTGTCTATCTATCTAACGTATGTAATGGTGTGTAATGGTATGTATTGTATGCATGTTATGTATTGTATGCGCGCTATGTGCTGTATGTATTGCACGTGCTGTATGTATTGTATGTATTGTCTGTTTTCTGTGTATCAGCGACCGGCATCAAAGGACAAAAATCAACCGCAGCCGCCAACGGGAAGAGAAACAAAACAAATGGGGCAGAACCACCAAAACAAAAAAACAAAAGACACCCCCGGGGCGAGCAGAAGCCCCAGAGCGCCAAAAGACAAACACCGAACACAAACCACAGCCAAGCAGGGAAGAAGACGAACACCCCAGGGCGGGCAGAAGCCCCAGGAAGCCCAGAGCACCAAACAACAAACACCAGAGACACAACCACCACAAGAAAGACACCCCAGGGCGGGCAGAAGCCACAGGGCATCAAAAGAGGAACGCCAACAACAGCGACCAGCATCAAAAAATCAACCGCAGCCGCCAGCGGGAAGAGAAACAAAACAAATGGCGCAGAACCACCAAAACAAAAAAACAAAAGACATCCCCGGGCGAGCAGAAGCCCCAGAGCGCCAAAAGACAAACACCGAACACAAACCACAGCCAAGCAGGGAAGAAGACGAACACCCCAGGGCGGGCAGAAGCCCCAGGAAGCCCAGAGCACCAAACAACAAACACCAGAGACACAACCACCACAAGAAAGACACCCCAGGGCGGGCAGAAGCCACAGGGCATCAAAAGAGGAACGCCAACAACAGCGACCAGCATCAAAAAATCAACCGCAGCCGCCAGCGGGAAGAGAAACAAAACAAATGGCACAGAACCACCAAAACAAAAAAACAAAAGACATCCCCGGGCGAGCAGAAGCCCCAGAGCGCCAAAAGACAAACACCGAACACAAACCACAGCCAAGCAGGGAAGAAGACGAACACCCCAGGGCGGGCAGAAGCCCCAGGAAGCCCAGAGCACCAAACAACAAACACCAGACACAACCACCACAAGAAAGACACCCCAGGGCGGGCAGAAGCCACAGGGCATCAAAAGAGGAACGCCAACAACAGCGACCAGCATCAAAGGACCAAAACCAACCGCAGTCGCCGACAGGAAGAGAAGCAAAACAGATGGGGCAGAACCTCCAAAACAAAAAAATGAAAGACACCTCCGGGCGAGCAGAAGCCCCAGAGTGCCAAAATACAAACACCGACCACAACCGCCAACCACAACCAGCAACAAACAGAAACCGCGGTGGATGAAAGCCCGAAAGCGCGAAACGCAACACAAGCGGCATCGCAAACGCGGCACTGTCACTCTTGCACCGGCTTGGGAAAGGGGATGGGGGGCGCTCGTCGGGAACAAACCCTTAGTGCCACCCCCGGGGTCCACCCCATCCCATGAAGTTTCACCCAGCCAAATAGCGCAAATCCATCCACCTATCCATCTATCCATCTATCCATCTATCCATCTGTCCATCTTTCTTTCTGTCTTTCTTTCTTTCTTTCTTTCTTTCTTTCTTTCTTTCTTTCTGTCTCTCTACCTACCTACCTACCTACCTACCTACCTAGCTAGCTAGCTAGCTAGCTATATTGATCCATCTATCTATCTATCTATCCATCTATCTATCTATCTATCTATCTATCAGACTATCTGCCCATTCATCTATCTATCCCCTTATCTGTGTTCCTTTCCATTGTTTTATTTTTGCCGCTTTCTATCTTTACACCCTTTCACTGTTCTTTCTTTTTTGTGCTGTCGAATTGCGCTTGTTCTAAGATGTTTACAGCTTGAAAAAATGGAGAAACAATGCACAAACATGGAATTGGAATATGCAAATCTGAAAGGGGCACACATGACAATTGCAAAAAATGGGAAAGCAAAATGCAAGTTGAAAAGAGGCAAAAATTGCAAATGGAGGAAGAATAGAAAGAGTAAATGCAACTTGGAAGGGGGCACATTTGACAAATGAACACATGCAAGGAACCAATGCAAGTTGGAAGGAGGCGACATGATATGTGGAGAATATACACAGATGAAATGCAACCAGGGAGAAGGGAAAGTGCCAAATGCAGCACACATGGAAACAACAAATTAACCTGGACAAGGTAGTAAAACCTGCGCAGAAGACAAAGGAAACATTATTAAACTTGAAAAGGGAGGTCCGAGGTGAACCCGTGAAGCCGAAGAAGAACGCGCAATGTTGAGGCTCATGCCTGCCAAGTGGACAGGTGGCCGGCCAAAAGGGAAGCTCCCCGATCCGAATTGGGGACCTCCAAAGCTGGATACTTTTTGTAGGAAATCGCAAAAAACTGATGTAAAAAGCAAAAAGAAAAACAAAAACCAAAGAAAAACAATAGCAATAAAAAACATATAGCAAAACAAATGGGCCCTCGGTAGGTCATCCCCCGGGAAATAGGCCCCCACTTTCCCGAAAAGCAGCGTTTGGGACTTGGGCTGGGGGGCTGTGCCAACCACCAACTCTTTCCTGAAAATCTCTGTGCCCATTCAAGTGTTGATGCAGGGACAGAAACCCAAACCGAACTGAAACCCATTCTTGCACATATTGCATGTGAGGCAAATTCAAGAACCTGAAGGCATGAAAGCCAGACAACCAAAACTGCATATCGCGCACGCCCCCCTAAATGTGAATCAAGCGGGTGTCCAAAAGCATTTTCGGCATTTGCGTTTTTGAACTTACAGCTTATATGTTTGTTGATTTCTTTGTGTTTTGCATTGCGTTTTTGCATTTGCATTTTTTGTGCATTTATGATTTCCTTTTTTTGCATGTTCTTTCTGCAGTTGCTTTTTGCTTGCATTTTTACGATCCATTTTTTGAATTACATTCTGCATCTTTCAAGATTCCAAGCTTCTAAAATACACCCACGAGGCGACGACACAAGTTTTATCTATCTAGCTGTTGGTTTTTTTTCTACCGTTCTTTCTCCATGTTTTTCTACCTCTCAGGCTGGTTTGTTTCTATCGTTCGACCTGTCTATCTTTTTGTCTTTCTATCTTTCGTGTCTATCCGCAGATCATCGCTTATACTTTTCACCGCTATTATAGAAGATATTCAAGATTTTTTTCAAATAGAAGATGCATTTTGGGGGTGCGGCCACAGGCCTTTCAAATAGAAGATGTTGCAGAGTGCAAAAGTAGCTCAAGTGACCAAAAATCCAACAATAACCACTGCCACTTTTTGTGATTTTTGCATGGAAATTATTTAAAATCAATAGAACATTGACGCCCGGACCCGGGTGACCCCCCGAAGAGGGGAGTGCAAAAGGACCTCCCGGAGTGGGACCCGGCCGGAGGTACTTTTGCACTCCCGCTTTTGGGGGGGGGGTCGGTGGAAAACTGTTAAAAAAGCACTGGGTTTTTTTAGCTTTTTTGATTTGTGGAAGGTGATTTAAACCCTTTTTCAAATAGAAGATATATAACTTGAAACGCTATTGTTTTTTAAATGAAGATATTCGAGGAGTACTGCAAAACACTTTTCAAATAGAAGATAATATTTCATGAGGGAATCCAGAGGGTTCTATCAAATTCGTTTTAAATAGAAGATATTGGTTTGCAACCCCATCAGTTGGACAGATCCCACATGCATGAAAACAGTTTTCAAATAGAAGATAACTGATTTTTGGCCTGGTTTTGGGCCTTCATAGGCTGGGCAGAAAAGGGGGCACAAAAACAGTCTTCAAATGAAAAATGATAGAGATCCGGAAACGCCAAAAAAAAATCTAGGAAAAGACATACATCCAATTGTCAAAAACATTTTCAGATCATGCTCTAACCTCGCGATCCCTGGAGAAAGACAATAATTTGAATATATGCTTGTTTGAAATGCCTGTGGGAAAGCCTCAATACAGCCAGTTTTGCACGTAAAATTGGTGAATACCTGGGCTTCCAGGGGTGGTGCATTAATAATAAATTTGAATACTTTCTATTCAAAACACTTCTGGAAAAACCTCAAAACAGCCGGTTTTGAACGAAAAAATTGGAGAATCTGCGCTGTGATGGGCGGGCAGGAATAATATATTTGAATATATGTTATTTGTAATGTTTTTGGGAAGGCATCAAAACACCGAGTTTTGCACAGAACGTTGGAGAATCTGGGCTTTCAGGGGTGGGCAGGAACAATAATATTTGAATATCTTCTATTTGAAATGCCTTTGGGAAGGCATCAAAACACTGAGTTTTGCACGTAAAATTGGCGAATCTGCACTTGCAGAAGAGGGCAGGAATCATGTATTTGATTATCTTCTATTTGAAATACATGTGGGAAGGCATCAAAACACCGAGTTTTGCACATAAAATGGTAGAATCTGGGCTTTCAGGGGTTGGCAGGAATAATATATTTGAAAATCTTCTATTTAAAATGCCTTTGGGAAGGCCTCAAAACACTGAGTTTTGCACATAAATTGAGAGAATCTGAATCTGGCCTTGCAGGGGTGGAGAGGAAAAATGTATTTGAATATCTT